GAATTGTCGTTAAGACATTGGAAGTTTCCCTTTGAATATTCCTTAAATTTTATAAATACCTTTAAGTATTTCGAAAGTCCCATTAAAACAGTAACATTATTATCATATTATTTATATTTTAAATCTTATTGGTATTTTATTTTTATTTTTTATTACATTAATTTAATTAGCGACACATAGATTTTACACAAATCCTTTTTTAATATTATACAATAGTTATCATATTTCAACATGTTGTAAATCTTTACTTTTATTAATTTTACTTTGTAATTTATATATGTAAATAACATGTATATCAGCATAACTCAAATTTGCTATATATGTGACATGGGAATTGATTTGAAATAAACTAAGAAGATTATATCCTGGTTTTAACTTTTGTCTTGTCTTTTTCACTTTTCTTGTTTATTTCTTTTGTTTATTTTTTTTTGTTCACTTTATTTTTGTTTGTTTGTATCTTGTTTTCTTTTGTTTTCTTTTGTTTTAATCTTTGTTTTATTTTGTTATTTTCACTTATTGTCATATAGCCTTTATCTTGTTAATACACTTTCTAACTTTGATTTATAGCGAATATTTAGTTTTAGTATTGTTTTATTATTATTTAAACACACTTAAATATTTATCTTATATCCATATTCTTGTTAGTTTATTATTGTTAACCATCCACTTTCATCATTTATATCTTTTTCATTTAAAATCTGCTGTGAATACAGTCACTGTTAACCATTTCTAAATATTCTCATATATAAGAACTAGAAACGGTAATAATATGCATCGATAACTCAGATATATATCAATATATAACTAATGATAAATATCAATACAAATCACCCCAAAAAATTTCCTGATGTTAATACTTTGAATTGTTGCTAAGACATTGAAAATTTTCTTTGAATATTCTTTTAAATCTTATAAATATCTTTGAGTATTTCAAAAATCAATCAAAACAGTAACAATATATATAATAATTATTCAATAATATTATGATATGAAGTGTTCAATAAAATATTAAATAATTAATATAATAAAAGTTTATATCACAACAATATATTGAAATAAATCCTAGTATAATTAAATGATGATTCCGAACCGAACATTTTCACGTGATTCGAACAATTTTTGCCGTGACTAGGTTATTACCGGAGACTGGATCTGCAAGCATTTAAATATTGGTTTTGCTAAGACAGGGATAACTTAATTTTAATCTTGTCACATGATAAACGATCATTTCGACGCGCGTCAAAGTAATAAATTCGGATAATCTTTAGCTCAATAAAATAATTAAACAATTCAATAATCTAAAGCAGAAAATAATGGAAAATGAATTTATGAAGTTACAACTAGATTCACTTAAAGATTTTGAATATATCAAAAAATGTGTATTAGAATCTTCTAGAGAAACAATTAAAGACACTTCGGGCGTTGGTAATGACCCCGAGACCTTTGAGGTTGTCTCGAAGTGTGTGGAAAAGGTATATGTCTTACTTAGCTTTTTATTTGGTTTCCCAAAAGTTCTTTTTTAAGGATAATACATGTATACATTCTTTTAATTTAGTGGGTTAATAAGTTATTCAAATATGTCGCATATAATACACAAATTAATGGGATTGATTACAATAAAGCTATTGAATCACAAGAGGGTGCGGTGCATGAGTTCATTTTTCATTGTCATATTATACATTTCTTCTCATTTCTAATCTTCAACTAAAAAAAGAAACTTTACCATTCGACGAACGCCTAAACGACACCGTCCAAGAAAAAGAACTCGAGTACTACGAAATGCTGGTACGCGTCACCAATCGACGTCGCTTGATTCCAGATCAAGCCAAACTGTTGTTGGCGGATGCGATGAGACGACAGTCGGCTATCGTGGATCGTGTGGACGAGTGTCCGATGGATAGTGATGATGATGATGATGATGATGACGATGATGATCAGAATATGTTTGGTAATTGGTTTTTTTAATTATGAGAATGTGGAGGGGCTGATGTAATTTTTTTTAATTTTCTGTATATAGAAATACCAGAAAAAGAAAAAACTATGGAAATGTATCGGAATGGATTGTCACTTTTATCTGATCTGAAAAAGGTGATTAATTGTTATTTAAATATTAATTTATATATATATATTAAATACAGTTTCGCTTATCTATTAATTAAAATTAATTGAATGTCTAAAAAAATTATAGTCTGTTTCGGCAAACTTTTCCAAATTAGAACGAGCTCAGACAGTTGTTGATGACCTCTTTCTACTACATCAATAAACAACTATTACAATGATTAATAATGAGAATGATAATAATGATTTTTAATTTATCTCTTTCAGTTATCACAAACACTGCTAGTTATCATCAATACTAATTTTTATATGATTTAATTAACATCGCGTGAAATAAAGTTGTGATTCATTGAACCCTTTGTTTGGTGCTCTGAAACATGAAAGAGATAATGGTGTTAATCAAATTTATATGGTTTATATCGGAAGCATCCCTCCGAATATATGTAAAAAAATCCAACTATTCAATTATTCAAATATAGCTATTTATTCATTTATTCATATTTCTTAATCCAATAAAATAGCAAGCGTACATATAAGTAACACTACGTCGAGTTTCTGTTGACAAATTAAATCGTAAAATAATAATAACCTCAGATTTATTTCCTCGATCAAAAATTACAGAAAGATATCTATCTATCAATCCATCTGCCTATCACCGCCGCCAAGAGAAAAAGAAGAGATTCTATAAATTAATTCAACCACGTGGAATGTTCGAAGCGTGTGAAAAATATAGATTTTAATATATATCATTAGATAATAGAAACGTAGCTCTATAATAGCTAAAAAAAAAAAAAAGGGAAACATGCATATTGGCACGTACACATATATTAATAATATAATAATAGTGAACTGAAAATTTCGATGAGAAAAAAATGTGTTAGACAGATAGATTGATATACATCTAACTAGCTAGTTGTTAATAGTACACAAACTAAATTAACTAACTAAAATACTAGCACTAGTATTGGTGGTGATGGTATTAATAATAGAAGTCAACGTATTCCCTCCTCAGCCCCTTCCCTTCCACCACGCACACATTAATCTTTCTAACTTATTCTCCCTGTCGGGGAACTATATATATGTGTATATATAATTGATTGAATATGCTAGTCGGATAAGTACTAACTAGTAAGTAATATAGAGGGTAGAAATTATGCGGAAAAGAAAAGTTTTAAATTCTGTTGAGAAATAAAGAAAAAGGAACATGTCTGGAAATAATATCGATACATTATTAAAAAGAAAATAAAAAGTCGTGATGTTCGCATATATATATATATAAAAAACGTATATATTGCTAATTCAGCAGTAGTAAAAATACTAATAATAAAGAAAAATGTTAAAAAATATCAGTCATCCTAAGAAATAATAAAGATATTATTAATTAATGGATGTTCCTATTTAATAATAACGTTTCTGTTCTTGTTGTAAGTTATTGTTATTGTTTTGTTGTTGTTATTGATTGTTATTGTATTTTTTGCATTATTGCAAGGGAAAGCAAACCATTCGAAAATGAAAGATAATCCTCAGTTCTCCTCCCCTCCTTCTCCTACAGGAATTTCGCAAAGATGTATCAAAAGAATTTCTCGATACTGCAAAAATATTTTCTATTCCTCCAAAAAGTAAATTCTGATTTTGAAATATTTTCTAGATTTGCTCCTCGTTTTCTTTCCCCTCTAAATATGTAATGATGATGTTGATAATAATAAAATATGTTTTTTTATTCTTTCCTTCTCTGATTAGATGGGACCAATTAGGCCATTCCAACTCCATCCACTACACGCGAAAAGTAACTTCCTTCTGCTGTTGAATTGACATTAGCGGTGTTAATCACAGCATTTCCAGCAACTTTCGTCGTCCCAGCGGCATTACCAATCCTAGCACCTGTGTTATTATAACCCATTCCAGCACCAGTAGATGAACGTGCACGATATGAAGAAGATTGAAGAGATATAGTTGGGGCACCAAACCCACCAGCAACTCCCAACCCGGGGGGTGCAATCAGAACAGGAGCCGAACCACCAGAATTAGCAGCAATACCTTCTACTTTTTTAGCAGAGATTTGAAGATTATTACTGTTATTGGTGTTGACGTTGTTATGATTTTGAGATCCAAGCAAAGGAATGGCAAAGCCGCCGATTCCATTCGTCATATTTACTACGTTCATGCCTTGTTGAGCTTGAACAGATCCGTAGTGTGATTGGGCGTATTTCGTGGATGGCAATTGTAGTCCAGATGTTACGCCAGAGTTGTTGTTATAATTAGTGCCAATATTGGAATTTGAACTATTTCCGTTGCTTCCAATAAGTGAATGATATTGAGACGTGGATGGAACCATGGGAAGATCCACGGGAGTTGGTGGATTGCTACTCACAAACCAAGAACTATTTCCCGAATTCTGATTAAGTTTAAGCGATCCACTATGTTGTTGAAGCAAAGGCGGTGTTCGATTAAATGGTTCCGGCGATTGCGTCTGGAACGTAGTTGAAGCCGAGTACAAGGACGGTTGGCGATATTGGGTTGTACTATTCGAAGCCTTTTTCAAATTTGTCAAGTTGTTGGTCGCGCCTTGAGATAAAAATGAAAAAGGCTTGGAACCATAGCTTCCAGAGATATTTTGTCTTGATGACAAAGGGGGAGTTCTTTGAAAAATCGACGAATAACTCAGGGGCTTAGACTCTGGGATTACCGTTACATCCGAGTTCAAAAGTGGCATTGATCGATGATGCGTCAATTGTTGAACATGCTGGCGACGTTGTTGGGAAGCATTAATCGCTGCAGCATTAGTTTGTTGTCTAAACAACTCCTGTTGTTGTTGTTCATACTTATAATTTGAATTCATCATCGTAGAAACATTTGAATTTTGTTGAGCAACAATATTCATTGGTTTCGATGGAAATAAAGGTTGTTTCATTGTGGAATTTTGAATTGATGATTGGGTTGAAGGCATTAGATTATTTACACCGTTGTTGTTGTTGTTGTTGTTGTTGTTTTTGTTGTTGATGTTGGAATGAGTAAAATTGGGTTGAAATTGGTGTTCGTTTGGTTTGACATTTAAATCAATATTTACATAATTTCCTTGTACCGATGAATGGCTTCCCCCAAAGTTTGATTTAACTGATGGAAGATGATAGCCAATAGGATTCAAATTAGAAGGTGATGTTGATGATTGGTGTAGTTGTTGAGATTGTTGTTGTTGATGCGCTTGATCAATCATATTCTCAAAATTGATGGTTGGCATGCTATGTCTTTTGACATGATGCGAATGAGATGTTGATCCATTGCTAGAAGAATTATTATTAGGGTTACGGTTCGAGCCATAATAAGAATTAATCAGAACTTGTTTAGCAGGTACAGGTGAGACAAGTCCAAAAGATTGATGCGGCTGAACACGTCCAATAGGAGGTTGAGGTGGTTGGATAACATTTGAATTGATGGTAGCGGTGGTTTGTGTTTTTGGCTGGCGACGATGAACAATCGAAATTGGTGTAGCTTGATATGGTTCTGGCATAGATATCAGCGTGTATTTATAAGGCTGTTGCAACGCAGATCGAGTATTTGATCTTTGAGGCCAAGGTTGTTGATCTTGTTGTTGCTGTTGCTGCTGCCTTTGTTGTTGAGCTTCAGCAGCGATAGCAGCCAACGCAGCATTTCTCAAAGTTGCATCCGAAGCGGATTTATTTCTTTGATGAAGCGACTGTTGATGTTGCTTCTGCGTCTGCTGATGTTGCTTCTGCGTATACTCATTAAGACATTGTAACCAGTGCTTATATTCTGTATCGCTGACGAATAGCTTGAAATCCAAATTATCGAGAAACTCCAATTCCATAATATTAAGTTCCTTGACACTGATATTCGTCACTTCTGACCAAGTTTTATTCGTAAATGTATTATCATCAAGAAATTTGTTAGCCAACATCAATGCAACGGTGAATAGGCGATATTCTGATCCCTTATCACCGGTAGACATTGTTCCACTTTTCACCAGTTTCTGAACATATTTAAGTGACAAAAGAACAACAGACTCTGAAAGTTGCGTCTGTTGAAGAACCTGGATAACAACAATAAAATAAGGGTGAATAATTCTTCGATGATGATGATGATTTTTTTATTTTAGAAATTGATGTACCTGATTACAGAAACTTTTGAATTGAGGACTCGCAGTTGGTGAGATATTTTTAGGATTCGATACGGGTGGGGCGACATATTGACCAGCCAAGGCGGAGGAAGGTCTTTTAAAATGCCACATTTGATAAACCATATTCGAAGCAAACTCGGCCAACTTTGAAGCGCCCGAGGAATTATGATGGTTATTCTGATGATGTTTGCTTGCTGCTTCATTATTAACCTGGGGCCCAACAGCGGATGAAGTATAAGCAACAGGCATGTTCAAGGGATACTGTTGTTGTACTTGTTGAGGCTGTGGCTGCTGCTGCTGCTGCTGCTGCTGCTGCTGTTGTTGTTGTTGTTGTTGTTGTTGTTGTTGTTGTTGTTGTTGTTGT